CTACGGGATCAAGAGAACGATCGATGATGGGGTGCTGTGTTCATCGAGAATGTTCGTCATCTACGCTGTACGCGGCCTGACATCGAAAGGTGGGATCGCGATGAGTTAGGTCCTTTCCGTGGCTCTATAAAGCTTGTCAGGACTGTGTCGAGCGATGGCAGAAGCGCCAGAACACGCTTCAGATGTATCAGACCTTTCATGAGCAGAGATCCCGATCGGGCTCTCACTCTCGTGAGAGGGATCGACATCCTGGAGCTTTTGGGGTTGTTCGGAGATACAACCCACTCGCGAGGAAAAGCGACCCAAGTCCTTCAAGGTCCGTTAGGTCCGGAAGGGATGGGAAGCCGGATGGGAAGCCGAGATCATCTTCGCCCGGAAGGAGCAGTCAAAGAGACAGAGCTTCTCCTGGGAGAGGCAGTCAGAGGGACAAGCGTACCCCGTCTCCTAAGTCGCCGAGAAAACAGTCGCCTGCTGGGCCTGCTGATCGGTCCTGCTGGGAGTATACAAAAACTGGAAAGTGCCAATATGGTCGGGAATGCAGGTTCGAGCATGACAAGAGCCCGAGGAACCCTGCTGCGCCCTCTACTCCGAGGACCGGTGATAGGCCCGTTAGGGACAAGCCTATGTACTTCGGATACTGCTACGACTGGATGTATGGCAAGTGCACAGCTCAGCAATGCAAGTACTTGCATCAGAAGCCGCCTCCGGGTACGAAGCCTATCACGCCTCGTACCACTGCCGGCCCTGTTGTTGAGGATGAAGAGGGGGAGACCCCTAGGTCACCTACGCCCAGTCCTCCCGATAGGGAGGCGAGGCGTCTCGACAGCCCCGCTCAAGGATTGACGGATTTTTAGGTGGGGCGGGCCGTAACCCTGAGGCCAACCGTGTTGTTGTGGCGTGTCCAGTTATGTGGGCTGTTGCCCCAGCTACCGGTGGGTCTGCGCCGGGTTGTCTCCCTCCTTGCGTTAGCAGTTGGGAGAAGAGTGAGCGCAACGCGTTGTTCTTCTCCGGTACCACAGGTGGAGGTCCAAAATGGGACCAAATCATGTGGAGAAGGACCGTTGACGCAAATGGGACCGTGATCGAGGATATCGGAGTGAACTCCGGCGGTCGCCGAGCGACCTTGTTCAGGAGGCTCCCAAGACGAACTGATATCAATACGACGTTTTGGTACTGCGATGATGCGGAGGTTATGCTGTCCTGGAGGAGCAAGTACTTTCAGAAGGTCCCGATAGGGAACCTCTGAGGGTCAAGATCCCTGATCTCCCTGATCTATCTGATGTGTTTGTTGTTTCAGTTGAAAGTGACAACACGGGCAGAGTCGTTAGTCGTTGCAGAGAGGCTGGATACCGCCATCCTAATGCGATCAAGTTCCCATCTCGCAAGAGAATTGCTAGGAGGTTCAGAGTGCTCTGATAAGAGCTGCGGCTGTTCATGCCCAAGTGCTCTTAGACAATGATGAAGACATCGACATCAATCCTGGAGATGTACGGGGACATCGTGTTGTCCGCTCCGGGTGTCCCTGTCAACACGAAGGTCCCTGGCAGCTCCACGAGAGAGACTCCTGGGCCTTGCAGCAGCACGGCTTCTCTCACTTCGGCGTGCCAAATTTTCTTCCTCATCACGACGATCCGCAAATGCGGCATAATCTTCATCATTTTCAAACTCAAACTCGGCAACAGCAGGGTTAGGCCTATCGGCATCAGACTCCTGCTTCGCGCTACTGCCCCAGCCTGCGGTTGATGTTAACAGAGCATCGTATCCGAAGCCTGTGAATTTCCTCTCCTCATACTCATCAAACTGACCTGGATTTTGAGAACCGGTGGATCGACCCGAGATATCTCTCGGAGCCAGAACCATGGTTCCTGGTCCCCGCGGCCTGTCCCCGAGCTCATCTGAGACCTGTGATTCACCTGGAACAAGAGATCTCGGGGGTCGGGTTGGCATGGCCTCCGGGTCGTCCGAATGAGGGCGGGCCATGTTCATCGCCACGCTGATGAAGTTGAACTGTCCATGCCTGAGACCTGACTCAGAGCCGCCCCTATCGGGGCGAGCTCTTTGTGCTTGCTCATCATCGGTGGCCTGACGGAAAATGCGATCGTCTCCATCGTCAGTGAACCTGCCACGGCTTCTGGGTGTGTCCCTATCGGGATCTTCACCCCTGCGGTCCTGACCTGCTGAACCTACCTCAAATTCCTCGAAGTCATAGTCCGGCAAGTCCTCACCTGAGCGGAGACCCTCCTCATCCACGACACTCCTGTGTGATCGTGGGGTCGACATAGAGCTTGTAGTTGATGGTCTCAAGCGCGCAGGAAAGTCCTACGGCTGATAACCTGTGATTCGGGCACGAGCCTGTGCCCAGGCAATGGGTTAGTTGGGGTGAAAAGCAAACCAATCCCCGGTCCCAAAGATCAGGGTTTCCCACACACCAGAGAACAACAACCAAAAGGAAACAAACCAAAAGAGAAAAGGGTTAACCCGCAACCTTGATCGACAACAGGCCGCACGACTGGTCCCTACCAACCTGGCGGCGGCCCGAGGTCTCTTTCTCCCCCGAGATGCCGTCGGTCGACGCAGGGGCTCGGCGACGCCCATTCGAGGCGCGACGGAACCCGTAAATCTTGAGCCAAACATCACAGGTCAGTCACTACCGCGACGTCCCTGATGATGAAATGAACCATGGCTAATCACAAGTTAGTTGCTTCTACTTGCTGAATTATGTTTGTCGCATTCCGCCTTTTGATCCTTGTTCAGTCATTCGTACATCTCCTGGTCATAAACTACATTTACTTCAACGCAAGTTCACTTGAACAAAGCATCAGAAGCAACGTTCAGTACGGTGTAAGAAAGAAATTAGGTAGAGCGTCGAAATACACAGGGTCTATCTAAGCAGTCATATTTCATACATACATCTATGAAGTTGTTAACAATGTCAGTCAGTAAAAAAAGAAAAGAAAGTTCAACTGACTGTACAACATCCTGTGAGAGTACCCGCGCAGGGGCATCAACAATAAAGCAAGGATTCCCTTCTCTGCCTCATTCCAACTGATGCGCAAATCCTCTTCATCCGCCAACTTACCAACCTGAGGCAACACCTGCGACGCGTCTTCCATCTCTCATCTCAAGTCATTTGCAAATCCCCTTCGTCTGTCAGCTCACAAACCTTGGGGCAATACCAAAAGTCTACTCACAGTGTCACATCTTATATGCCTTCACCAACGCCACGCTGTCTAGCCAGTAATAATCTGCCCTGCGCTAAACCTGAGGAGAAGCATGCAGAGCACTGGAATTGTGTGTTTCTTTAAGTCATGTTCTAAGGAATTCCGCCGACCCCTCGCCAAAGAGGGGAGGCGCAACGGGAAGGCTGGCTGGCGCATGAGCGTTACCGAAGATTCATCATCATCAGCATCATCATCATCGCGACGCTCATCATCATCCTTAAAACCATCATGACACTAACCATCAACGTAGGTTTACCCTGCCAGGATGGTGATGCTGCATAGGTTTTAGATCTCACGTAGGCACCGTCAGAGTCATCACCATCGTTATCACCATGGTGCTCATCATCATCGTTATCAAGGTTCATCCTGCCAGTAGCTTGTCTCATCTTTCAAACCAAGGGCGCGCTGGTGATGCTGGGGTGCGTAGTCATGGTTTTCATCATGACTGCCGGTGACACTGGGGATGCACAGTGATGCTAATGACAGTCCTGCATCTCAAGTCGGGTCTACCAGGAGCCTTGAGACGCATGTCAAAAGACAAGGACGACGACGGTGACAATCATGATGAATCATCGCTAGGCTTCCCCCAACATCACCAACTGGATGATAATCATCATTGCGCATCCCCAGCATCTCCAGCATCTCTGCTTAACTGGTGTGAGTAGTGATGATTCATTATCATCGTTCTTATCTTTTTGTTGTACGTTCCAATTGCTCCGTTGGACCCGGCTTGACATGCAACGGAGTCATGGTTATCGTCAGGACTGATTGTGCTGCCGGGGATGCGTAGTGATGATTAACACCATGGCTGCCACCATCATCATCTAGTGATGATCATCATCCTCGCAGCCCTCAAGTCCGGCCTCGCCGCGCTATGTCGCCCCAAGGGGCATGCCGAGGCTCATCCTTCCGACTGACGGTCGCTGCCGCCGACCCCTCGCATCCCGTCTGCATGTCCAGCGCCTTTGGTGCATCATCACTGCCCGCACTGCCATTGGAGCTCGAGCTGGGGGAAGGCTTGAACACTGCAAATAGAAGCAACTGGGCTGCATCGCCTGCGGCAGACTGACCGTCAGGGCCAGTCTTCCCAAAGCCAGTCCTGACGACGCGCGCTCGCACGCGAGCCGCGCACGCAACCAACCAACCAACCAACCAACCAACCAACCAACCAACCAACCAACCAACCAACCAACCATCCATCCATCCATCCATCCATCCATCCATCCATCCATCCATCCATCCATCCATCCATCCATCCATGCATCCGCCATCCATCGCCAATCCATCCCGTGCAGAGGACATGCGAGGCCGGTGCGCGGAGCGAGAAAATATTTGTCCAATGTTCGTATGTTGAACTATCAGCTGTATTTACCGCACACAACTCCAAAAGAGTGAAAAGGTGCACAACCAAACAGGAATGAACGCTACCTGGATGAAATCGCTTTAAAGCGTTTTGGGGGCCCCATACTGGATTCAAGATTCAAGAACTAGAGCCCTGGGAATCTTGAATCTTGAATCTTAGATTCAAACGCGCTTCAAGGCGCTTTAAAGCCCTAGCCCTGTTTTGTTTTTTGGGGTGGACCATATGTATATATATATATATATATATCTGTCTCCGGCTGGCTGTCTGTCTGTCTGCCTGTTTGCCTGCCTGCCTGTCGACACTGGACAGACATATACGTATATTGTATATATATATAGTTTGTTCTTCTTTTCTTGGGGGGGGGGGCGCTCTCTTTTAAAGAACTCATTTGGACTCCAAAGACTTCGGCAACCCGCCTCGCCCCAGGCGCCCCAGTGGATGGCTGTGCACGGCTTCCCCAGCGCCCTTCTGTGCCTGATGACCCAACCAAAATCAGGGCACAATCACACTTGAAACTCCTAAAAACTATCATCGAGACTTTCGGTGGGCCTTCTCCTTCTGACACCGGTCATAGAGCACGGCGCTTCTGACTAATGGTCAAAGAGCATGAGAAGGACAGGTGGACAGGGGCATGTTGTTCGTCCTAAACTCATGGTTTCCGGGAATGGTCATCTTCGAACATAAAATGTCTCTTGCGAGCTTCACGGAATTTTCATGGAGCTCACTTATATTGGGGAGTTGTTTGAACAAGCAACAGCCGTCACGGTGCACAAAATACTGGTACGCTTCGAAAGCTCCCGCTCGGATATTGCAAGTGTTCAATACAAGCAAACTTTGCTTTGGCGGCTCCAGCAACGAACTTTGGACCGCCCATGTGCAGCTGGCGACAAGATCGGCGTTCGCATGCGTCACATATTGGTGGGAATGTGGCTACGTATGCTGGGCGCAGTGACTGCAAATCATTGCGTCAATGTGGGAGCAAGCAGAACACGTCCAAGCAAAGCCTGGACTAGCTCTATGCCTAGTACGCCACAAGCAGTCTGCAAAGCTGGGCGCCCACCTCTCTCTTTTGCGCACACACACAAAAGAGAAAATGCGCGAAAGAAACACACGTTCGCCAAGTCCATGCACAACTTTCACTGGCGGCAATACGTGAAGCAAACGGTCACCTGTATCTGAATCTTCGCAAAAGCATCTTCTGGTTGACGCCCGTATCATAATCTGAAGCAAACTACAAAGATCACCTTCTGGACGCCAGCTCAGCGATCTCATCGTACAAGCCAGTTGTCAACCATTTGGGATGGACTCTTGCAGCAATTCACCAACACAAGGCAACATGAAAACTGAAGCAGCCTCAGGGACAAGAACAAGGTTTGTACCTGGATCGTCTCCCCAAACTTCCCTTGAGAAATCTGCGCATGTAAGGACTGCTGTCACAGGCTCTCCACCCTTTCCGAACAAGGTAACCAAACCAATGTTGTTGTGTTTGATACTTTTTTGGGGTTGTTTCGAAGGAACCAACAGAACGCCACCCATTTCTGGGGTTCTCATGAGACAAATCGACAAATCCTGCTCGAGGCGACAACTTCTGCGGCCTCTGAAACGGTGTGCGGAATCTGTGGAATTTTAATAGGGAACCTCAAAAGTGGAGGGTGGACAGAAATCCCCACCGATATGATGCCCTCCATTTTCGGGTCCAGCTGCTGAAAGCCAATTTGTGTCTGGATTCAACCTGGGCATTGTCCCTGTGCCGTGCGTCCGGCCTTGCAAGGCCATCAAGGCAAGTGTTGGAGGCGGAATAGTTCACCTGGCGAAGCTGAAGGAAGCGCAGAAGTATCAAGGTCAGATTGCCGACTTAATCGTGATCGCTGTCGCCCTGTGCTGACCTGCTTAGTTCATGGGCCGCAACAGTTCAAATTGTTTGGACCTGTTCTACAACGCTGAAGAAACCTACCAACAAACCGTTCAGCGTTTGCGAGCCCAACAGGCAATGTGTGCAAATGCAGTTGATCGTTTGCATTTATATCTATATACAACAGCACGCACGCACCACAAGCACGCACTCCAAAATTGAATCATGTTGACTGAGACATAACATCCACTATCCTGACAAATCATCACTGGAAGTTTGAGGGCGCACTTGCTACGCGCGCATAAGACTGCCATGTGGGTGCTACAAGGTACAGCTGACATCAGGAGATTTACAAATTTACAGCAAAACAAAAATCCGGTTTTACACTCGGCAAGAAAAAACCTGCCCTGTAAGGACATCAATAATTCACGCTGTTGCACTCCGGGTGCTTCTCAAAGAAGTGTTGTTCAAGGAAGGAGTTGCACGTCTGCCCTCCGGCCATATGAACCAAAGACAACCACCACGTCGTGGCTCCTGCCTGGCCCATGTTGCCTTGGCGTGCCGTTGAAGCGATCCGACGGGGTATCCCACTCCATGTGCCGAACTTTGAAAGACTTCTGCCGCAGTCTTGCAGCAGGTTGCCCAAACAGAACAAACTATGACATTCAAAGATTGAGCCAGAGGCAGCTTCCTCCACAAGTTGTTGCAAGTGGCCACCAGTGAAGCTCATTTCAGGATCAACGGCAACTGCGAGTTGGGATTGGCACGCCTGGCTTGCTTTGAGCTGTGATGGCTTGGTTGCTGCTAAGGCAGACAACTCATGGCCAATCCGAACCGCCAATGCCCATTTAGTTTCCCATTTAAACCAGTAGAAGAACCTTTGTCCCGGGTGGGTTCACCTAGGGTTCGGTGATCTCGCCGTAGTTTGTGCAAACGTGGTTTGAACAAATCCTGTCCTGGCACGGTAGCTTCTCCACAAGTTGTGAGGCTCTCTTGCTGCAGCGTTCAGGAGACTCGTACTGAGGGTCAATCCTGGAAAGTTGGCTGAGTACCCCGACATGAACGCCAACAAAAGCAAGCAAACTGGAATTGCTGCCGCGCAGCTCTCGCAAACAAGGTGCAGGTTTGTTGTCGGTCAAATTGTTTGTTACTTGGGATGCCTGTGGCAACCTAGGCCTGCGGCCTCACAGCATTTGGTGTTCCCATACTGAGACTGCCACGATTTATTTGAACTAGCTGATGTTGAATACTTTTAGAGTGGTTCCAGTTCGCAGAGCTGAATTCCACGTGGAACCTCCGGTGAGCTCGTTCCCCCACTTCGCAGTTTGCTTGCTCTAGGCGTTGATCAACCCCCAGCCAAGTCCACTGCCATAGGCCGACGTGGAGGAGAACCTCAGATGGCATTTTCTGATGTCTAAACAAGTGGAAAAGGACTGCCTGAGACGAGTCTAGAACAATTGAAAGAAATCTGTCCCCGTGCGTGAAGTCTGACCAGCTCCATCCAAGATGCACCCAGAAGAACTTCAGGTCTGGGTTGTTGAAGCGCTCGAGCCTGAGACGCAGCAAACCCCAAGAGGCCAGGCAAGAAGAAAGAAGTACACCGGTCAGTGCCGTTGATTGCACTTGGGAAACCCGAATCAATTGGTGCATGGCAAGTGGATCTGACTAGCCTGACCGTCATGTACCCGTTCCCAAGTCCCAGGACCAGCACCAGCTTTACATGGCACCCACACTGTGATTGTGCGTCTTCCTGGCCAAAGGGTGACGGCAAAAGCTGGTCAGATCAGTCAAAAGCAGAGCGCAGATTGCGATGGAGCATCATGTAGCAGAACAGTAGTTCTACGGCCAAAACGTACCTGTTGCCCGCGACTGCCCGGAAGCGGGTCCCCGAGACCTCCAAAAAGCGTGGCAGGCACAGCAAAAACGCATTCCCGAGCCCCCCGGGCCCCACCCCAGCTCCATGCTCCATATCTTCATGGAGCGCGGCGACTTTCCCTGGTTATATACTGCTATCATCAACACAACCCTAAACACCTCGGATGCACCAGACAGCCAGCTTCTAAACATTAGAAACCCTACGCCTATACCCTAAACACCCTAAACACCCTAAACCCTAAAACCCTCAAAACCCCAAACCCTAAAAAACGTAAACCTAAACCCCAAAACCCTCAGAACCCGAGAAAAAAAAAAGAAAAAAAAACTGAACCTAAACCGTAACTGAAATCCTATACCTAAACCCTAAAATCCCTAAACCTAAACCCTAAAAACCCTAAAAACCTAAACCTAAACCCTAAGAACCCTAAACCTGCCAGCAGGATCATACAGCATAACAAGACCTTGTGGGCGACACATAGGTGTTGTGGGTATTTCTACCAGGACCAAGCAGCGACTGTGATTTCCCATCTTCAACCTTCAAATCCGCCGATGCCGGTCGAGCGTGATGGCAATCCGCAACTTGGTCGCTTTCGGGGAGGCCATTGTTGGGCAACGTTTTGACAGTCCAAAATCCTACAATTGTCCAGTGAACCTTCGGACGCTTGATGCTTGTGGTGGTAAGAATCTGCATTCCCAGCATCAGGGCTGTCGTAGCAGCACGCATTTTGTTGTTGTTGTTGAAGCGAATGGCGTTTTGCTGATTTGAGCGATGTTGGATTTGGCATGTTTGGGGTATTGGCGGGGGCAAGTGTAGTGACGATCTACGGAACTGCTGAAAAAACAAGTGTGTTGCGAAATCCCAATCAGTATAGGGGCATCGCTGCGAACCATCCCCAGCATTAATGTGCTTTAGGAAGTCTATGTTTCGGGTTTTTGAAGGAGCGTTGCTGTCGTCCATTGTTGAATGTTGATTTTGGGAAACATCGAAAAACACTGGGTTTTGGCACGCTACCTTCCCTGCATTGCTTGCATTCGCAGCATTCCCTGCACCCGCGCGCATCCCCAGTATCTGGCCAAGTATTTGCGTCCGAAGCATCTGGGAGGAATGCAACACGTTGGTCCTACTGTGTGGCGCTTGTTAGCTTACATGGAGCGTTTGTGGGACCAGAAAGGGCCCCTTGTGTATGTGGGGGTTATATTTGCAGGCTCACTTGGTGCCGCCTGTAACTGAACTGTTGCAATGGATTGGCAGCTCATCAGGTTCTTATGATTATTGTGCGAATGAGCTGCCCAAAATCGTTGTGGCTTCGACAACGCCACCGTGACATGCTGTGATTCATCCTCGGTTTGTGTGCAAGTGTCCATGATTCATCTGCAAGAGGAAGCTGGTGGTACGCTACAGATCCACATTTGGAGGAGAACACTTGGCGCCTGATTGGACAGTTGCGTTGCAAGGCGGTACAAGGTGAAACCAAAGTTTAAAAATGGTTCAGGAGTTGACAAATTCCCGCACATCGATGTCAGCCTTGTGCCTCTGGTCATTTGAGGCCTTGGCGCATCATGCAAATACAGAGCTGCTCGATGCTTGGAGTCGTAGACTGCCTGCCGGTCATAAGCAACACAAAAGCGCCTCACACACCAAACCAGCATCTAGCATCCCTGCTTTCGGAATACCAGCTTCCTGATACTTAGTAGATCTTGAGACTCCCCCACCTGGCTGTTGAAGGTTGCAAGGCGCCAGACTTGCGTGCTGGCTTCGTGACTGTTCGCTTTGGCTGAGTGGTCGTCCAGGATAAATGGTAAGCGCGTGGCAGGTCTCCACAAGTTGCCAATGACAAATGATCCCAGCCAAACCCAACGGCTCTCTCAAAGAAGCCGGCGGGGATGCCCGTACGAGAAACCGCCTCAAACTTCTCCCAAGTCTGATTCGGCAGCATGGAGTCCTAGCGGCTTGAATCAAGCAGTCAGGTCGAATTGGGGAGGTGTCCAAAGTCCAACTCCTGAAGAGGCGCTATTAAAAAAAATCTATCCTAGGCTTACCATGGGCTTGCCATGGGCTTTTCATGGACCGCCCTTAGAACTGCTTGAAGCTATCTGCAAATTCTGCTGATGCAACGCCTTGGCGCCACCAAAATGGTCCAAGCCGAGACGCCACAACTGGGGGATGGGGGCGTCTCCTGGAGTACACCTGCTGAGTGGATGAAGCCCACGAGATTGGGAGACACCTGGCACAAAGCTGATACTGTTGCCTTCTTGTCTCCAGAATCCGGCAGATGTTGATTGGAGATGTTCATTGAAAAGCTTATACTTAGGAAGAGGTACCAGCTGGGTGTTCAACCTTTCCAACGTCCAAGAAGGGTTAATAAGATGAGTTCGACCAGGTGTGGCCCTGAAACGCGTCGCCAAAAGCCTTTGATAGCCCCCCTAAACTCCTTCGCGTTTGCGGCAGTCCACCTATCGCTTGACTCCCGAGCTTAGAAAAGGGGTGGGAAAACTAAAACATCCATTGGATTTGGAGAAGCCAAAGCCTAACAGAGGTGAGAGGCTGGGGGCATTCACCACGCATTCCAAGAGCTGCAAGACCGCTGATCTGGGCCGCGGGCCTTGCCATTTACAAAGAAAGAAAAGCTATAATTTAAGAGGTGTGCGTGTGTGTGTATCCAAAACTGATGGCTCATACCACTGTCTGCTGATGCTACACTGGCAAGTCTCCAACATCCAACAAGTCTAGACTGACCTTTCAAAGCAACTCATTGGCACAGGCAAGCAGAGATGCCGAGCATACCTGTTGTGGGCAATGCGTAGCACCCACAAATTCAAACATTCGTGGCTGGTGTGACGCGTTTCAAACATGCATTCGCCCACTTGCCGGGCCATAATCAAGAAACAAACACCCTGCTCTGCTGGTTGAGTTCTACGGGAACCCTAGTTGAAAAAAGGACATGTGGTGCGCTTCTGTTTCTGCTGCGTCCTGCCAAGCCTTGCAAACGGACATGTACCAAGCAATGCTTCAACAGCCCAAGAGACAGGCGATGCCTCCATCAGGAACTTGTCAACGGCCGCCTGGGAACCTCACGGCGTGTGAGACCGTGGGCTCTCCATTTGATAAAACCGCGAGATGGGCACGCCCTCACTCAGCTTCCCCTTCGCAAATCCGAAGTTCTTCTCCACCGGCTGCAGGCTAATCGGCTAGTTCTGGCTACGAACGGAAGCTTGCCTGCATTCAGCAAAAAGAAATGCTGCCCAAATCCAACAAACCATCGACAGTCTGCCACCTCTGCAATGCTGAGTCTGAGGACCTTGCAAGGTTCCTGATACGACATGTCCTTTTCAACATCATCCCACTTGGAAGGAACCATGTTTTTTGCTGGCCTGGACATGTTTTGACCGCAGGCATCCTTTAACCTGAGAACTCGTTGCGACCGCTTCCCTTCGGTCCCAAAAAGGCTTTTGTTTTTTGGGGAGGCTCAACACCTACGCACTGAAATTTGGGTCTCCGACCCATGTCCATCTTGCCCTGCATCACCGAGACGCCCAGGGCCGCAGCCTTCGACTGGACCTGCCGGGGACAGTGAAAAGACCAAACAAAAGGACCCAAAAGTCAAAAGAATTGTCTTTTGGAGGAGGTTATATCAAGTTATATCCCTTGTTTTGCGCTTCCCTATCTGGGGAGAGACTGCTTCGGTTCTGTTTAATGCATCTGACATTCCAACCACGAAGGGAGACTCTGGAGAACAAGATGCCATGAGTGAAACTCCAGAGGTCGGCCCCGCCCATCGGGCTCGGGCCTCCTCTCCCAGTTCAACTTCTCAAAATTGAATTGTGGATGGATGGACAAAAAACGCATTTGGCGAGGGGTTAGCCTTTGTCACAAACCTGCTTTAAGCCAGCCGACAAAGAGCGCCAATTAAGCTCCAGTTTAGACATGTTTACACGGTCGAGCCATGCCTCTCGCAGATTTCATGCAATGGGTCGCTGAGGACAAACTGGTGGCTACGTAAACTGTGCGGCGAATCTCCGGAACTTCCGGCACTGGACTTTCCGTGCGATGTGGAGTTGCAAAACACAAGCCTTGACAATTCAAGACCCACAAAGTACCGAAACCAAGGCGGTGCCTGACCAAACTTGGAGGAATCAAGCAAATCGCCGTAGTGCCCAACCAAGCATGGGCGGCAGGCAAGCCAAACGTCATACTTGTTGCCACAGCTACAAGTAGCAGGAGGCACAAGGCATGTTGGTCAATGGCCTAACCTCAAACCCAGGGGTTAAAGCTTTGCTATCACTATCATCATCATCATCATCGTCGTCGTCATCATCATCGTCATCATCATCATTATCTTCATCGTCATCGTCATCGTCATCGTCATCATCATCATCATCATCATCATCATCATCATCATCATCATCATCATCAATCATCATCATCATCATTATCATCATCATGAATCATCATCATCATCATCATCATCATCATCATCATCATCATCATCATCATCATCATCGTCATCGTCATCGTCATCGTCATCATCATCATCATCATCGTCATCATCATCATCATCATCATCATCATCATCATCATCATCATCATCATGAATCATCATCATCATCATCATCATCATCATCATCATCATCATCGTCATCGTCATCATCATCATCATCGTCATCGTCATCGTCATCATCATCATCATCATCATCATCATCATCATGATGAATCATCGTCATCGTCATCGTCATCGTCAGCATCATCATCATCATCGTCATCGTCATCGTCATCATCATCATCATCATCATCATCATCATGATGAATCATCGTCATCGTCATCGTCATCGTCAGCATCATCATCATCGTCGTCGTCGTCATCATCATAATCATCATCGTCATCGTCGTCGTCATCGTCATCATCATCATGGTACAGGGCAAAATTGTAAATGTTTCCAAACATTGACCTGGTTCCAAGGCGCGCCGTGAGTCTCCGCCTGCCTTGTTCCAAAGAGGAACATTCAGGTCGCTGATCTTCGCGGATCGCGACATGAACCTGAGGGCTGGCGGAACGGTTGCCGTGGCTGCAGGCCATGGTGGCATCCCCCCGAAGACAGGGTCCTAGCAAAGACCCCCTGAGACACTGTAGAGCTCTGTGGGCGCTATTCGCCCTGTATTGGGAGGGGCCGCTTGGGTGAAAGGATTGCTCTAAAGGACCCCCATTTTGACACAAACCCACATAGCCATTCTGACCCCATCCAAAGTGGCATACACCAGCGACCCAAGGGGCGCTCACACTCACTTGAGAGGCGCCGGAGAACGCTATGCTTGCCCTTGAGACCAAGTCCCATGCCAACAACATGCTTGGCATCTGCGAAAAATGGCCGTTTCCGTACTGAGTGAGACATGCAATGGGAACAGGGTGTCCGTGTTGAAGGAGATCGTTTGCTTTTTACCTTTGGCGACACCGCCTATTCATCTTCCCCAATTCGCTTCCGTCAATTCCTGTTGCTCAAGCCCATGAAAGATGTCACAGGCCCTGGATCGGCAAAGGCCAAGGCTGGATGGAGAAATTGGGCTTGTACTCGCCACCTGAGCAAGGGAGGCGGGGTAGAGCAGCATCTAGTGGCATGCTTTGTACAAAACTTCCTATATAGATATGTTGCTTCTTGCTGGTTTTGAAACCCAAAAGTCCCAATGTGTGAACAATATCAACATCGCAATTAAGCTACTGAACCATCAATTCACCAAAGGTGATCAAGCCGAAGATCCGACAGCATGCGATCGACCTGGGGCCCCAGCCACTGGCTTTAACCTGGGCGTCTGCCCGCGTCAAAAGCCATGTGCCCATCACCTGACGCGCGTTACCATCCGAAAGCAGCAGGCAGGGAGTTCCATTCGGAGGTCAATCTCCCAGTTGGAGGATCTTAATTTACAGGGCTGATCGCAGCAAATTAAATGATTCTTAAAGGGATATTGATTGGGAACTTGACCGATCGCACAAACACATCGTTGTCCATACTTTCACAAGCCGTGTTTATCAACGTCCCTCTTTGGGGGCACTTTTGGTCAATTGGGACCATTGCAGCAACACTTCTGGACTCGCCCAAACCGCTTCGGCCCAAAATTGTGCAGCCCAAATTCTGCGTTGCCTGCCCTTGGGAACGCTGCCGTTTAACCAATCAAAAAGGGTTATCAAATTTGTGGCATGAGGAAGGTCGAGCCAGGGTGCCCTGAATAATTTAACAGCCTCCTGACACTCACCTCATATATGCCCCGAGAGGCGTCCAACGTGTGTCTTCCAAGGATCCCTGCCTGTGCGTGTCAAACCTAATGACTGAGGGATGATGCACGTGAGAAACAACGTAAGGCCAGCTGCAAACACGTACCTTGTCACACGCCCATTTGGCTGATCAACTTCTGAAGGGGGATGGGATTTGGAGGTAAGGAAGGCATGAGAGCCACGTCCTGGAATATTCTCTGTGTTCATGTGGGTGTGTTTGTGTCCCACTGACTTGGGAATTTAGCTGCGCAGCCCCGTGTCCGCATAGTAATTTGACGAGTATGCCGCATGTCATTCCAGTTCTTCGGTACAAGGCGGAAAATATTGACTGGAACTCGTATACACCACTGCCCCCATATTCCAGAAATGAAACTCATGTGTAACTCTTGTATCGCTGGTCTTCAGCTCCTTGAAATCAGCTACAAGCTGCGTCCTCAAAGTTGTTGAGCCTCTTCTTCTGTAAACCAAACCAGTCCCAAGGCCCAACGGGGCCCACACCAAGCCCAAAGCGCCGTTGCCCCCAGAGATGGCGATGATGCCCTCGCTGGGCACGTCCTCGGATTTATGCACTTCATCTTGCCCAGTGGTCAAAACATATGGGTCCGCAAAATTGTGGTTTTCCTTCTGCTGTCGCGTTTACAACCACCAAAAAAGGAGTACCCTCAAGAGAAGACGCGTCACACATATCCATCGAGACAATGGGGGTGACCTTGTGCAGGGATGGCAGCTAAGTCATCCTTTTCTGCTGGTTGATTTGAATCCTTCACAAAAGACAGAGACAGCAAACCGCAAAGAACAGCAAACAGCAAACAGCATGTGAGCCTACAAAGGGAGCCAGCCCAAAGCGCAAAATCGGCATTCGTCGGCGTGGCCACAAGGCATTGATGGTGGCAAAACCGGGTGTGGATAAGCAAAAAACAGAGAACGCCGAAAAGAAGCAAAGACGCAAAGATGCAAAGACGCAAAGACGCAACGACGCAAAGAAGCAAGGAAGCAAGGAAGCAAGCAGGCAGGCAGGCAGGCAAGCAAACAAGCGAACAGACAAACAAACAAATAGACTAGCAAACAAACACACATCCCCTCTTGGTTTGCTTGCAACGGGAAGCATCTTAGCACTGAGCACGAGAAAGCTCAGGTTACCAGACTACAGCCGATGTCCTCGCGAAGCGACCAAGGTGTCGGGTTGTAGTGGAACCATCATGCGAACTTGCTCTATTGTGAGAACAATACTGTTTGCAGGAACAAGGTAACACGTCTTTTCTGGAGCCCTACTCCGAGCTCCCGCGCCTTGTGGTTAATGAGTGACAAGCACGACAGAAATGCATGTGTCTAAGGGAAACCATGGTTGGAAACACAACCCTGAAAAGTTCAGGAAGCTTTGCAGCCACTCCCTCAAAGTTGATGGGGCCACTATGGCCACTATCAGATATTAAAGCGGTGGCACGCACAAAGGCAGTGATAGGGTCAGAGTCTGAATGGGTGAAGATATCGATGTGGGCGTCAAGATACCACGGACTGGCAGTCCACAGGAGATGAAGTAGACAGCCGTGTGGAGGGCCGAGACCGACTAGCCGATGAAGGAGAACGTTAGACAGGGCACGGGCGACGGAGTCGGCATGGCAGTTCATGGAGACTGCTCGGAGCCAGCAAGAACAGAAGTGCGAAGGATGCTAATCATCCACCGCCACCCCCCAACCCCCCGGACTCTCTCCAATGATCTGCCAGATTCTGCCAGATGTCACGACAATAAATGGGATCTTAGGAGAACGTGTCACCAAGAACAACATCTCTTTCGCGAATCTGATGCCCCTTCGCTTTGCCTGCTTTGAAGCACGTCTCCTAAAGCAAAAATGTTCAAAGGCGGAGAGTGGGTGTTGGCCAGTCCCACTTCAAATTGCCTGGAGCAGCCCAACAATTGGTCTTCCATATCCAGGGCCCGGACCCAAGATCTGTCCGCCTTCTCCTCATACTTGGTGGAGAGGAACTGCCGATAAATATAGCGCCTCGGCGCGAACTCGTGTCCGGCCCAAAAGTTCGAGTACGGGAAAGGAACTCGCTCAACTCTCCGGCCATGTCACATGCACATCCAAGATAAACTTATGATACAACTCTCAGCTCCTTCTGGTGAGGTTTGCGATTTTGTCAAACCTGAAGCCATGCTGTCCTTGCAACATGTAAGATGTTTAACATTGCTTATGCCTCAAGGGCTTGCATGGCTTGCGATGGGAGCTGAAGCAAACTCTGCCGTAGCAAAACGACTCCGTAGGTGCGAACCTGCCAGCTGAGGCAGTGGCCCTGTCGGGCGCTCCACCCGCATGCCGCGATACAAAGGGAAGGGCCAACACTGGCGGACGGTGTTGGCCTCAGGGATTGGGCCGGGCTCGGAACAGTTCGCATGAGGTGGCTTTCCAAAGAGTTCGCAGGATGCAGATTTTAGGATTCCAAACCCAGAACCATGAGGGGGTGATCATGGATCTTTAGGGCAGCACCCAAAGAGCGACGCTCTGGCGGGCCCCAGAGAAGTCAGCATTAGGCGCAGTGCACACAACACAGATTCCCCATTGAACTGCGCCACTTTCGGCAAGAGGGCACCAAGGCCGCCGGACGAAAGAGCAAGTTAAAGGAAACACTGGCTACAAGCAGGTCACCTGTGCACTGTGGGATTCTGTGGCCCCAAGGCCCGAAGGCCCGAAGGCAAACAAACAAGCGGTGGGCTATCAAAATTCTAGGCCCTTTTGGGATCCGAGTCCGCAAAAAGGATCACCGCGCTTGTCGACATAATCCATGTTGAGCTGCCTAGTTGCCACAAGCAAAAAAGGGAGACCTCTTGCCTCTTGGTTGTTCATCTGCTCAGTTGACCTTGTCAAGGCTTATGCACCAGGAAAGAACAAGCGTCCACTGAACCGGGCAGCGCAAACCCTGAGGCCCAAGCACCAAAGGTGTTCAGCCTTCAAAGGAAAAGGCAGCCGTCGCAAAGCGATGTTGCTTGACTTTGCTTGACTTATCGAATTTGGTTACATCCAGTTGTGTTTTGCTTGTTGGTGTTTGGTCCTATAATGCTAGGACTTGCCCCTCAATAATTCGAAATAGAACCTCCATTCCCATAACCCTGCATGTCTGACCTCTCAAATAGAGGAAACATCCATGATAGGTCCAGGTAGGGTCTCAAAATGTGACAATGCTTGCACGTGTCCAAAGTAACTTTGCTTCTTGCTTTTGCCCTGCGAGTGCGTCTCAAAATCACGCGCCCTTTCAAATCTTTCTTTATCTCTCCACTTAACTTTGAGACATCGAAAAACTTCGATCACAATTTGTCCGTGTGTGTGTGTGTGCGCGCATGCCGGTTTCTGATGGGCCATGCCTAAGCGGGGGGCACCACGTTGGTCCACCCCTAGAATAATTGTTCTTATTATTCCTGATGGCCCTGACCACCATACAAATAAATTATTCTGACCGTAGTTGGGTTGGCGATTTGATGGCCGACTCAGAGCTTTTCCATGCAAGCAGAGTTCCCGCCACCTCATGCAGGCACCCCGGACCCCGCCCAATTCGGGATTGCGACAAACTACTGCCTATTGAAATCTAGCGATTCCTATTGAATCCAAATGACGCGTCGATATTGGTTAACCGGCAGGCCTCAGCAACACAAAGCGAAATAAACGTTTTAGAACAGATTGCAACGGAGTCTAACACTTTCATATGGGTCCGGTTCCAAACCATATCTAGTTCACTTCCCACATGCCTACCTAGATTCCTGCCTGAACCAAGATTGCTCACTGCCATGATTAACCTCACACGCACAACAAAGCAACCACACAACCAATTCCTTGGATCCTAAAAAATATTCCAGGGCACAGCCACCCCTGAAACACCTTCAACTTCAAAAGCTATGAACAATTATTCCTGGGCTCATCGGGTTGTCACCTTTTTGTTCAAGCCACCATCAAGGAGGGACCAAGACCACCCCCCAAAAAGAAAGTATTCCAAAAAAGATGTTCCAAACAAATTATTCCAAGGGGTAACGTGGTCCCGGGAATCATTTCTAAGGAGGGGCCGTGGTTTCTGTTTCTCCTTGAAAAGTAGATAGTGCTGGCAATTGTATTGTTGGACATGAGAATGCCCAGCCCCGTGACTTACGGCGCTCGGGCTTTGTCCCTGCCTCAAGCCAGCGCAAAAGGGGAGCAAGGGCCAAGGGGTTGGCATCTGTGAAGAAAGGGATTGGCTTACAAAATCATACGTTGGATATGTGTTCATGCTGCTCCTGCAAGTACAGGCCCTTACAAGAACCTGAGAGATCTCTATGATTCAGCAGTCAGCATCAACACCGGGAACGCTGGCCACGATACAGAATCAAGGCCCCGGAAACTGTTTCGTTTCGCTCTCGTTTTCCGCAAAAGCTTCCAAACAGGTTCTGCCACCCATGTCCAAACTACGTGAACAGCGTAAAATGCAAGGGCAGCGCCTCCCTTGTCCATGCACGTGCGTGTGAGGGGAAGTATGGTGTGCGCGCAGCGCTTGTCAAATCCTCTTTGAGTGCGATCAACCATGAAACAAAGCACAACTTGCAGTCCGCATCAAATCAGAATGAAGTTGGTTGGTGAACAAATGTTGCATATTACATGCATCTTGTGTCACACTATACCCTGTTGACCATTCGATCATTCACCGAAACCCAGCCTAAAAATCTCAGACACGAAGTGAGGGATCATGTCTGGGCGGTCCAGGTATTCCTGCGGCACAAAGTGCTTCATTGGAGGGCACCCTTGGATGATTTCAGACTTGGAGATTCGTCTCATCTGCTACCCAACATTGAACGAGAATCAAACAAAAGCAGGTTCCTCGAGGGTCACCAAAGCGCTCAGCTAAGTCTGAAGAAGCTCAAGCTCTTTCATGTTCTTCTTTCCTGCTCGTAAAGCGATTCGGAGTCATGCCACAATAGCTTCCCGATCTCGTATTCAAGCATGTGTAATAAGAAGTGTGCCAAGCTTGAAGGGTACGTTGACAGGCAAACGTCTGGAAAGTGCTCCTGGAGAAGGCCTAGCCACTCAAGTTCCCCCAAACCATGTATATATATATATATATAACTTATATATATATATTAATCTATACACTACCGCTATGTGGTGGTTATGTAATTCCATGCTCCCTCTTTCTCCCTCGAAGTGGTGATATCACGGTAGCAAAAGCCCTCAGAGTTCTAGGCGGATGGCTTTTAAATATTGTCTCGGAGACACATGTGCCATTATATTGCGCAGCGAAACGGGTTTCCCTTCTAGAGGTGCTTGAAACCTTGCCGTCTGCACAAGAATTGAGCATGGCAACAGGTTGCGACTTTTCGATGTTTCCTGACTTCAGCATTCAAATCGACCTGACCTCCTCTGAATTGTAGGTGAGAGAAGAGATCCCGACTCTTCGAATATGAAATTGAACTCGCTATGCTTTTGTGGATGAGAACGTGTGTGGCGGTGTGCTGAGTGCCAGGCCACATCGACCACGTGCAAAGGGATGCCAAGCTCTTGCCGGGCAGTGTTCATCATCCCGAAGATGGTCGCCTCAAGACACATCACCGGCTGCATTTCTCAAAGCGCAAATTTCCTCCCAGCTCAAGCGCTCCCTGCAAGGCCAGGCTTTCTTAGACAAAGGGTGACCGCAAATGGTGGTACTCAACCAAGTTACCCCTTCACATGTGGGCTCCCTTCTAGCTTCCCTTTTCGAACACCATCTAAAAGCTTGTCGGCGAGTCTGCGGAGAAAGATGCAACTTCAATCGCAGGCCTGCGGCGGCCACTTCAGTTGTGTTCCGCATAAACAAGCCTCACATATCCCAGTCCCCGCCACCCCTTCCTGGCATGCATTATTGCCAGCGCTTCTCACAAAAAGTGTGCCCTGGGCGGACAAATTGCCATTCCTCCCGCGGGCTCCTTAGTTTCCTAAAAGTCTTGGGGGCATCCCAAAAACAGCCCTTTTGCCAGCAAGGGAAGACGCATTGACATAGGGATGTGCACGATACACATCAAATAGGGATAGGGATATCGACTACAGGAAACATGCTGGATGCGGCGGATCGGCTGAGAGTCGCACGCCCCCAACAATGCTGAGACCTAGGGGCAAGCTTCACGCTGCCGAAAGAGCGTCCACCATGAATGCAACGAGATGGACTTATGTGGGTAGGGAAGTTATACGGCCAGTTGGAATGTGCAGCTTGAAAGGTTCTTTGCAAGAGCTTCACCCGAGAAACTGCTCTGGGAGATGGTATTGGCACAGGTTCCTGTAAAATGATGTTACCCCTTTGCTCGTCACAAAAGGAACCGCGTCACCCAGTTACAGCCGACTGTAGCTGTTGTTGAAAATCCAAAAGCCTGAGTTGCGACCACAGAATTTGCTGATGCTTTCACAACCCACAAGAAGTCACTGCCTATAGCACAAGCTTCTATGCATGCTCTTGTGCTTCGAATACGATTCCACAAACTTATACCTATCAGCTTCCTCTGTCATATCCTCTTTCTTGCGAAGTCATTGTACCCCATCTAACCATCGCATTTGGTAAAATATACACCTACAGGAGTGCATCGGAATGAATCGTTGTGATTTACGCACTTCAACTCAGCGAATTTCCAAAGGACTCCCATTTTGGGTGGGGTGGCTGGCATCCACGCAGACCGGACCACTCAGCTGCCTGCCCCTCTGCTTGTGGGCATCATCCACCAGAGAGAATGTATCCTGGGCGAAGTTGCAGAGACGCCCCCGTCTTCACGCGTTGCCGAAACGCGTGCTTCAGCCGTGCTGCCAGAAGCCAGGACTCTCAAACTCAGAGTTTGTTTACAGCTCGCCGTGCGGCTCCACCAAGACCCCGGCAGGTTGGAAAATTGGAAAGGGAACCGCCACATCTCTGCCTTCGAGAGTTGATCCACTGTTCGCAACGTCCAACTTGTAAACTGAAATTTCTGTGGATCGCAGGCGGTCCCTCCCTGTGTTTGATTGGCGGATGCCATATCTACTTGCTTGCGCAAAAGTGGTATTGATCTCTGAGCAAATGTTGTTGCGTTGACGAAAGCTGGGGGAGGGAGAGCATGCAGCGGAAATATGCTAAGCTTGCATTGTAGAACAGCAAGCCTGCAAAGGAGCCAGCCAGGGCCAGCCAAGCAGCCAGCCAGCCAGCTAGCCAGCTAGCCAGCCAGCTAGCCAGCCAGCCAGCTAGTTTTGACTGCTTGTTGAGCATTCTATGCGACCGCAAGATACAATGTTCGAAAAGCTATTCTGCCCTTTTGAAGAGCTGGTGTTCGATTTCACCTTTGACGACAGAAACCATTTGTTCTCCGTAGCTTGTTGTCATCATTGTGTATTAGATTTCCCTCCCCAATTCAGATCTCCATCATGTTTTACTTTTGCTCTGTCATTCACTGAAACCGTCACAAATGCCTTCTTGCCTACAGTTGCCTTTTGCCTTGTACAGCACAGGACGGATTGAGTGCCGGAAGTGATCAATGCCTGTAAGAGCCATTAAAAGCAGTACCACAAATCATGCATCTAAGGTGCTGACTAAAATTGCCATTGCTGAGCGTCCCAAAATCAAGTTTCCCGTGCCTGTCCAAAAATCGCAGTCGCCAGCTAGATGTTCCCAGACATTTCACACATTACACTGAAGGCCCGTGTTTCCAGCGTGCGATATCACATGCGTGCTACGACCCCCGGAATGCCCCCTCCTCATTTTGCTGCACTGCCCTTTGAAAAAATCACCCCTCCAAGCGGGTGCCCAACAAACGCACGCCCAAATCCGTGACCAAACCACCAAAAATTTTCGTCCTGGAGGGTTTGACAATCGTAGGGTAGTTGCCTGGCGTTCCATCCGGGCACCGCGCATGGGTCAGCACCGCCAGCCGGCCGGCGCAGCCTTCCTGTTGCCCATGCGCCCTTTTAAGGGGCACCCGATGTTTGTGTAGGTGCCGGATGTCCAAAGAAGTGTCACGAGTTTGTAAACCCCGCGTTTGCTTTCGTCTGCTTTGCGAGGACAACCCGAGTGACGGAAAAACTGGTGATTTGTGATGTACATGAGCCATTCCGAGGGCCCCAACCAATACAGGAAGTGGGGCTTTCAAACCCTATTTGCTCACGGCAAGTTGACAAACACCCCCTGTCAATCATGCCATCCCAAACGAAGCTTACTTCAACATGGGGTGGTATTGAAAACCACCTAAACCCCCGACAGGTATGGGAGGCTGGTGAGTAATCCATCCTCTTTTGGTGACTGGTGAGTCGTTCATGCGTGCTGAATGTTGAGAGCTGCTCAAAGACTTTCTGAGTAAATTTGGCGAAAACCTTCACATGAAGTATGAATCAAAGAAACAGGGAGAAAGTGGCTTAAGGCTCCAAACATAAAAGACACCAGGTACCAAGTGCTCGCTCTGGGACACATAACCACTGAGCAACACATGAGTTTCGGAGAGCACATGGAAGGTTGAAAGCACCAACCTTCCATAAGCACCTTTTTATTGAAGGCGGGATGTTCTGTGTTTTGCAGACCATTGACTTTTAGGGAATCAGCTCGTATCACGTATACATAATGGCTCAAGGCCCCTTTCTCTACCATAAAGCTCATACTCGCTCTCAACCTTATTAAGAAGCGGCCGCTCACCCTTCAGGGGCTTGACGGGCATCGCATGTGTGCGACAGGCTCAACCTAACAGCACAGCGGGCTTGACGGGCATGACGGGCTCCACGCGCTGCACGGGCTTTAACGGAAAGATTGATCGTTGGCTAACTAGACAGATCGATAGAACGATCGACAGATGGATCGATAGACGGGCGATGGATATTTTGATATTTTGATGGAAATGTAGATAGATAGGAGAGATAGTAGATAGATAGGAGAGATAGTAGATAGATAGATAGATAGATAGATCGATAGATTGTAGCCTGTGGGAAGGGAAAGCCTGTCCCAGGCCAGCTCAAAGCCTTCCCTGGCTCTGTCCCGGGCCAGATCAAGGTCTTGGGGGCTCCAAATGGTTCAAGCCTGGGTCCTGCTGATAACTTGTTCGTGTGGGGCAATGTAGAAATTGCAAGCTGGGCTTCCCTTCTGAAAAACTGGCCACTTGTTGCTTTACCAAGCGCTCCAAGCAATAGCTTGCTTTTTTCCACATAAGCCACTTGCTTCTTTCCTTTTTGAATCTCCTCAAAACCAGCATGTAAAAATTGCTGTCCGGGCTCCAAATCTTAGAGTTCTGCCTTGGCTCTGTCCCAAGTCAGTCCCTGGCTCTGTCCCGGACCAGATCAAGATTGGATCAAAGAAATAGGTTGGGAAATGCACAGATGCGTTGATGGACAGACGGGTGGACAAACAAACGAATAGACAGGTGGATGAATAGTTGCACAAAGACCTGCGTGGATGAGTTGACAGGCCGGGCCCGACGGGCCCGAACAGTGAGAGGACATTGGCCGCCTTATTCATACACGTGTATCTTTATCGACTCCTCAGCTACTGCAACCATACAAGACACGCTTTAGAGTTTCTCATTTCCAAGTTTGAGACCTTGCTACGCCGGCTGATGGCAGCATGGAGTGATCTGATGCCCGTCATCACGGCTCGATCGACAGACTATCTCCATTCAGTGCAAGGTCCAAACGAAACCATTAAGAAGTAGAACAAGTGGACTTTGATCAGACACATCCGGCGGTGTGACTCTCATTGATCACTGTCAAGGTCCCCTCGGACTCGGAACTGGAGAACATATCATCGTGTTTGTCATCTTGGATGGAGCAACAACAGGCTCTGAACACAGCGCAAGAATTAGAGAACACCACCGTTCTCAGGAACTATTTTGACCAGTACCACTTGCAGCTCAAGACAGTCGTCGGAGCTCAGGCCTCAGGAACGTGGGAACATTTCTATCAGTCCCTCAACACCACACCGTTGGCGCTGAAGGAAAAACAAGTATGCTCAGCTTCCTCAAGCAATGATCATTGTCCAATTCGCAAGAACCGATGGCACGACCATATTGACATTGACGACCAATCGACATCCACACGAGATCCTTTGTATTCATTTCATTGTCTTCAAGACTCGTGCGATATCAACTTCATCGTCTACAAGGATATCATTTCCTGAAGTGAATGAGTCGATTGCTTTACAAGGACGAATCGATCCTTATTGTTTCATGCCAGCAAATCTTCAAGTCACACAGATGCGGATCATTGGAAATAATTAGATATCAACTTTTGCGTGCCACGACTCATGCATCAAGTTTGCAAGAACCATGTGGATATCAAACAACCCGACATGTCCGAGTCAGAAAAAATAGAGTGGCCTTTTTTATGTGGTTTGGATCGGCTCATGTATTCTCAATGGCTAAGGCGCATAGCAAAAAGGTGGCTACGGCACAGAGGCTTTGTAAATCTAGGTCAAAAGAAATGTGTGTCTGTTTTGTTCTGTGCGGCAATCCTTTTGTATGACGTATACAGCCGTATACATAATGGCTCAAGGCCCCTTTCTCTACCATAGAGTTCATACTCGCCAAAGAACAAGACCTTGCTGCGCTCGCTCTCAGCACTTATTCATACACTGTATTGACCAGGGATTTCCACAACAGTGTCAGCCCATCAGGTCATCAGATTCTCGTTGAGAAACAAATCCAGAGCCATTAGAGACTGCTACCACGGTGGTTATCTCCTCCTCAGGGAGTAGGTGCCCCCGCTACGGGACTTGGGGGGGGCGGGCGACGGGTGTTGCTTTTGTGAGCTGGAGGGCTTTGGGAGACGCAGCATTCTTGTGGCTCTTCTACCTGCTGTGTACGTAATTTGAAACTCTGAATGTGACAGCAGTTGCTTTGTGCTGCGCAAGAGCAAAAAGGGACTTGCCGCGGACAAGCATGTGCATTTCAGCATGGAAATTGCAACAAACACCTACATGTTTGTTAAAACGCCAGATTGCACTCTGGGGAAGTAACGCCGGCATCGTGGTTCAATTCTCAAATGACTTGGTCACAGTGCTCATCTCAGCTTTGCACGGTCGCTGCACCCAAACATGCCAGGCAGTCATTCAGGTTCATTGTCTGCAACAAGTGGAATAAGAACTTGTCCACTGCCGACTGCTGGGCAATGACGTCTGCTGTGCTGTTGCCTCAGAGAAAACAAAACACTCGCCTCCACGTCTCTCCAACCTGCCTTGCCATGAACATCGGCGAATCTGCGACCATTTGACGTGCTTGAGTCATGTGGGTTGACAAAACTGTGACCATTGAGAACCGCCACTCAGTCACTCCGCCACTTTCCAACCCACCTGTGCGGGTGCCCAGTTTGTTTGGGGGTCCCCCCAAAAACAAAAACTGCTGGAAGAGAAACCGAGTAGAATTAATTTTGGGCGGGTCCCCAAATTATTGGGGAGCTATCCTGTACTGTTGACCCTGATTCGTACCCTCCACAGGTATTTTCAAGGACCCAGGGGGTATCCATCGAGGTCAACACAGGGGACCCTGGATGGTTTTTCGGTGTCCCTTGAACCATCCAGGGGGCCCCAAGTGGAGCTACCAAATGAGTTTCAGGTTGCCTTGCTGTCAGACCCGTTCGGGGGAAAACCACTGGCTTTGACCAGCGCACATGGCAAGAATTTGTTCATGGGCCGTAAACTCGGAAATCGCCCAACAAGTTGGCTCTTGGATTTACCTTTGAACAGAGGAGCCCCCGAAGCTGGGACTGTCGGCTCTTGGGCGGATCCAGTGGGCAGCCCACGAGCACCAAGTCCTTAGTCCACTGCTTTGTGGCCACATGGGAAAAAACTCTGATGGGAGCTGGGTTGCAACCCGCGCGTTTCTGTGGAGAAATGAAACTAGGGGTAGAAATCGAACCATGATCCAAAGAGCAAAAAAAGCATCCGGGCCCTTCCCGCGACATGCGCCGCCCATTGCAAAAGCAATCCTGGCAATGGGAGTGTACGATGCAAACAATACCTTCCCCAACGCAAACAGATGGAATTTGCAAGAGGGACTCTTTTGAAGGAACACGGTCCAAACCCAGGCCCTTTTGCAGGTTCCATGTTCGTGAAGGCGACAAGCCTCCCAGAATCACAGCCCCACACAGACATTTTCTTCAGATGAACACGGGATCCCCCAAAAGTAGATATACGCATTGGTGTCTCGGCAGGGAAGGAGGACTGAAGTAATGCATGATCAGCGAATTGTTTCATGACTAGACATACTGCTCCTTCGGAAGACACCCGAGGGCAGGTCTGTGGGAGGCTGTCAAAGACAGGGTTGTCCTTCAAAGCCGTTTCACTTTCATCTAGCGATTATGTTGGCGCCTCACTGCGCCCAAGTGGTGGTCTCCCGGAGCTATCCGCTGGCTGGCTGTCTCCTTACCCCGTTGTCTGGGCTTATTCAGGGATGTGCTTGCTTTCAAGCGCTCACGTGAAAGGAAGCAGGATCCTGCTTCTGTACGCATTAAGCATAGGCAACACATAGAATGTAGTGTGAAGTGTTGTGTTGCGTGCGTGTGATGAACTACACATGCGTGAATATAAGTGAGCAGCCAGTGTGTTTGACATGATACCAAGATGTTGTTTTGCTGAAGGAAGATAAAGCCATCGGGAAACTTGAACCGGCTTCTGAAAAACTTGCTACCATTGGAGGGCCGGTTGGAGCTTCATATCGTTCTGTGGGGAGTACACACTGCCTTTTGACTGAGACCAATCTCGTAGCTCTCTGCAAGCAGGAGCCCATATTTCATAACGCACAAGCCAAAAGACTGGATGTAACACTTAGGCCATGTCTGCATTTAAAAGCAACGACGGAGGCTTTTCAACAACTCTTACTTGGGCTGCTGGTTGCATAGTCTAGCGGTCCGTAAACAGAGGGATCATAAGTATTGATTCCAAGGAAACGTCATCAGGTCGCTACGTGTGTATCACTCAGGGCCATTCAGCCCAGTGTACCCGGTCACAGATCGTCCCATCAGTTTTGTGGCACGTGCACTCGGCTTAAGCCGTTTCCCTTCAGGAGCTTCCAAAGTGTGCGGTAGAAGGCGGCTGTGCACACTCTGCGCAGAATCTGTCTTATAATGACGTGGTTGTAAGTTCGAGGATTACAAGTGTGCACGGTTCGAGCATTCCAGCAAGCAAACAGCCAACAAGCCTGCGGTTGCACTCCGAAGACAATTCGACTTGGGCCATACAAGCCCAAGTGCATTGCATACAATCAGTCTTTTAGTCTGAGTCCTCAGGTCTCAACATCTTTCCGCCACAACAGCCAAGTGCTTTGTGAACCCCGCCAGTACTTTCCAAGTTCTGAGAAAGCTCAAATCGCGGAGCCCAGAATCTGTGTGTCTAACAGAATGACAGAAAGAAAGAAAGAAAGAAAGAAAGAAAGAAATTGAAAAAACAAACCAGCCAAGCCAACCAAACCAACCCAACTGGACAGAACCGAACGTAACCAAACTGAACCGAACCAACACACAGACAAACGGACAGAAAGCCAGACAAACAGACAGAAAGACGGATGGACGGACGGGTGCGCGGCCCACAAAAACATACACACGCGCACAAACACAAAAGCATGATGTGAATACATCACTTACTGAGTGCCGTATTTAACAAAGGCTGATCCAGGGTTCCTGTCGCTGCATTTATCTTGGATTGCCAAAGCGCAAGGTGTTTCATCCACTACGTAATGAAGGAAAAACCAGGCCTGGCGATTACAGTACCGCGCGTAAGGATGCAATTTTGAGATGGAGAGATAACTGTCCGTTTAACGGGCCGAAGGGTGTGAAACAGGTCCTGAGGCGCCCCGCGTATTTGCCTTTGGTCAGCAATGCCTGACAGTCCTCCTGGGCAAGCGTCTGACGGATTTGGTGCACGAAGCTTCCCCCGTTTATCCGCCCGAATAGCTCAGCGAACATGCACATAATCACTATGCAAGGAATAGCAGAAAAACGAGGGCACCTCAGAAAAAGGGAGAAAACAAAAACCTGCATGCTCTGTTCGCAACCGCACAAACAGCAAAGCACAAAGGGCATGAATTCAGGCTCTTTCACAAGCAAGCACAGTGGAAGGAAGAAGCATGCCGAAATGGCTTACAAATTATCAGGTTGGTCCTTTGATCAGCTCAGCAGCTTTCACTTCAGAGCGCGGGTAGTGCGGCTGCGCGCTGGGGGCCGGGCATGTGTCAAGAGCCGCGGGGGCTTGGTGATGATCTTCTTGGTTCCAACCTCACGGGTCAGGCTTCAAACTGGGCATCAGTCGCATTACGGATACCAGGGCAAATCGCTGCTGTTGTTTCTGGTGGATACCCCAGATTGATACTGCACATCGCTGGTTACAAGCTCTGCGCCTCACAACTGGAAAGCCTCGCCGAGATTAGATTTTGACAGTCGGTTTTCATTATCCCTACGATGGTTCGCAGCGAAAGTCCACACCTCAGGCTCAACAAACCTCAAACCGAGAGCCAAGCTCTTCCCTCTGGCGCTTTCTCAAGGATCCTGGGCATGTGGGTGTGAATTTCAATAGGATCAATAGGGGACCCTTTGGTGGGCATATTTAGGCGGGGATTCGTGTCTACCAACCACTATATGGAGCTGGTAGGAAATGTAAATTCATGGGCATATTCTTCCGGCTCGGTCCATGGGTCCATACACTTAATCTGTCAGGAGTATCGGCTTTCACTGGGGTTCAGAATCATGCTTGGTGATCATATTAATCATATCCACTTTGTTTATCTGGCTTGTCACAGTTTTGCTTCTGTCTTGGTCTCCCCACGCTCACGACTGTTCGAGGGTAACAAACTCACGCGATCTAGAGCCGGGACTCATCCGCCAGAACAGGCACAGCCGGATTGTGCGTGCAACACATGCAAACTACTGCAAGGTTACCTCGACACAAGCCTGAGGCGTCGATGATGGTTCGCGGTAGGACCTTCAGACGGACCTTCAGACCATTATAGAATCCAACCCGCCCCCAGAACTCATTGGAGAGAACCGATGGTGAGGGAGTTAGGTATTGCAGGGGGCTCGGGATTCCAGGAAACCAAGTCGCCTCTTCGAAAGGATGGTCAAGGTGCTTCGGCTCGAAATAGACACAAGTCATATGGTTGTCAGGGGCCCCCCAAAGAGGGCACCCCTGGAAATGGTCCCCAAAAGGAGCCTGATTAGCCCCTGATAGACCCTACTTAGTAGTCCGATTGGGACCCCCCAAAATCAGCAACATATAGCTTACTCAGTCTCTTGCACTAGTCATGAAAAGTTGTACCTTGTGCTAGTTAGTAGATTGTCTGACTTGGCTCTTGAGCTCAGTTTTTGTGCCATATTTAGACGATACCGGTTCAGGCCCGTTCGCCGGCACCAGCTGACATCAATTAAGCAAGTCATTGAAACAACTTGAGACCTCCAGATCCAAATCATCTAAGGCGCCATGGGCAATGGAGCGCTTTGCTGACCCAGAGGGGGAAAGGATTCCCCAGGGTTAAAAAGTTGAGGGCATCCCTTGAGTTTGTCAAAAAGGTGGTCAGAAGCCAACCCCTGCTACAGTCACCTCTGAACGGGTTTGCTTGGAACACGATAAGCGGTAAAGCGCCTTTGACACAGTCCAGCTTGGTCAGCAAAGACAAGAATGTCCTGGCAGCGTGGTACTTTGTTTCCTTCCGCTGCCAAAGTGTCACTTTGAGACACCAGAAGTCTTGGTTGCTGTTTTAATGGCTATGAACCTCTGCAAGCACAAACAATCACACAAATGACCAGCATAGCCGACAATGAAAAGCAATGCGCACTGTTTCAGCCAAGTCGGCGTTGGTTTCTCAGTTGTGGTCCACGGAAATTGCCAACACGGATATATATTGCCAGGCCCCCAGAGTCCTATTGAAGAAGCAGTAGCAGAGCATTGTGAGACTGTAGTAATCGATGCAGAGCGTTCCCGGAATGTGCAGTCAGAGCTCAGACTGGAGAGCAAATGCATTATCAATAATTGAAGAAGTGACTTCTCAAGTTCCGCCTCTCCTCCGCAGCCACGATTGATGCACTCATCATTTTGCAGAGCGGTCATGCAAAATATTGCTTTGCAACTGCCATTGTCTATCAGGATACGCTTGCACTCCCAGCAAAATCACGACAACAGCACTGAAAACAATTCAAGGAAAGAAAACTGCCAACCAATGAGCTGGCACAACAGGAGCGACCAACTTGTCAAAACCATCTCAATGTGTTTCAGTCAGTCAACCGAGCCTTTGCCATGGGCAGAAGTAACCGATGACCATGACGGATGACGGATGATGCTACCAAATTTGGTCATGTATGAAACAGAAGTCATGCCACTGGGCGTTGAATTCAAATCTGAATGAGTCCCTGCGACAAATCCTCTCGTATCTAGTGGCTCAGTAGCTCGTAAGATTTCCTACAGTGTTCAAAAGGGGAACTTCATTTGCCAATACAAAAGCAAACGTGTGGGGACCTGACGAAACAAGAATACGGAAACCAACAGGTCACTGCTGGACAGAGGAACATATGTTTAAGAGGAATAGAGGAATTGTGAATTGTTCAGTCGTGAGTCCCAACACAAAACTGCCGACTCCAGGAATACATGGAAGACACAAAAAGTAGGTGTGGGTTTCATAAATATGGTCATGCAGTTCACCCGGCTCTGAAGCCCAAGATCACAAAGCTCTTTGGGCCTGGCGGATTGCCCAGGCCGCTCTTCGTTGTGCTTGGGTATTCCCGACAACTACGCCGAATTCATGAAGCTACTGTTTAGCAAAATGACGCATTCTCTCTTTCCATCTAGGTCGCAATGGTCACGGACAAAGCTCAGGCTGCTCTCTTTTGGCACAGACAGTTTGCTGAAATCAACTGCTTGGTGGCTTGAATGTCTTCACCACAGATTGCTCGCCGCTTGGGCTTCCTGTTGAGCATCAAAGCAACGCCACTCAACATCTGGCAGCCAAAACTGCCTTTGAAGGAAACATGCTAAGTGGACCCCCTGACCCATCCCAGATAATTGCAACAGAAGGGCGGGAGAACAAAGGGAACCAAGAAGGGACCCACAAAAACGAGAGCCAACAAAAAGGACCAAAGCAAGAGAGGAAACCAAACAAATACCCAAAAAGGACGCCCGATGCATAGACTCCCCGACTCCTCTGCTGCAGCGGAGCCCTTGAGCTTTGTGAAAGGCCTCAGTGGAAACAGATTTTCTGAACCGATCGTCCTTTCAAGGGAATTCAGCGAGGTTGTGACGCACTCAAGGTTCATCCTGTGGACCAATACTCAACATGCAATGGAGTCATGGGGCTGCCTTGCTTGCTTGCTTGCCTGCCTTCCTGCGTGCTTGCCTGCTTCCTTGC